CATGAACCTCATAATTTTTCGGAATTTGAGGCTACCAAGATAGTACTATGAGTTAGCATTAATTTTGCAAAGCAAGTGAGAATTTACGGGTTCGAAATATCAAATTTCCCCTTTTTCGGGTACAGCCTGGGGCTGCTAAAAAAGGGAGTTATGTTGATTTCTCCCCGGAAACTAAACGAATCGGAAACAAAAAACACCTGTTAAAAAGAGGAGAAAATTCTGCATCGAACAGTGCGCGAGCTGCTCTTTTTTATGTTCTACGAGGATTTAGCTGTCCAAGTATGGAAATCGGTAGCGTCAGTCAAAATTCTGTTAAAAATGTATGACAGGATATTGAAAGGAGAAAAAAGGAGTCTTGCATTCTGTGAGGTTCTATCAAACCTTTACTAGAGCTCCTTCGGAGCATCGATACAAAAGTTTTGAAAAATTGTGAAACTTGACTATCTCAAAAAGCATAGGCCGCAGATGTTGGTTATTTTCTGAAAGCTCATTGACTATTTTGCCATTCCGAAAGTAATTTCGCTTTTTTCAAACGGACGCCACATGCGATGGAATAAACATTTTAAGGTGATCTTGGTAGCATTCGATGCAGTATTTTATTTTTTTAACAGTAGTAAAATTTTTGCAGCTCAGTCATTGAGCTTTCGGAAAACCACCAAAACCTGCGACCCATGCTTTTTGAGGTTGTCAAGTTTCACAATTTTTCAAAACTTTCATATCAATCCTCAGAAGGAGTTTAAGTAACGATTTGATAGAGCAAACCTTATAGGATACAGTACAACTTTTCTCTTTTCCATGGCCGCCTTTTTTAAAAGATTTTTTTGCCAAAATCATCGGATTTTGGCAAGGCTATGTCAGTCACAATCGCATCAAACATCAATTACTCGGAATTTGAAACTTCAAAGTGATATATGACTCATTGTTGATTTTATAAAGCAAATGAGAGCTTACGAATTTGAGATATTTGACTTCGAGTTTTTCGAGTGCAGCCTTGGGCGCGTTCAAAAACATGAGTTATGACGATTTTATCCCCGAAGACTGAACAAACGGGAACAAAAGACACCTATTAGAAAGAGGAGAGAAAGCTGCATCAAACAGCACCCGAGCTGCTCTCTCATTGATATTCTAGGAAATTTGAGTTGACCAAGTATGAAAATTGCATCAGCTGAAATTTTATCAAAAAATTTTGAGGAGGTATGTGAAAGAGAAAAAAATTTTTGTATCCTATAGGGTTTGCTCTATCTAATCGTTACTTGCATTCCTTCTGAGGTTTGATATGAAAGTTTTGAAAAATTGTGAAACTTGACAATCTGAAAAAGCATGGGTCGCAGGTTTTGGTTATTTTCCGAAAGCTGAATGATGAGCTGCAAAGATTTCAACACTGTTAGAAAGAGGATGAAATACTGCATCGAATGCTGCCACCTCAAAATGTTTATTCCATCACATGTGGCGTTCGTTTGAAAAAAGCGAAATTACTTTCGGAATGATAATTCAAACAAAATTTGAAAACTTTCCAAAGACGAAACCTAAATTCACAATCTTGTATGCTGAAAATATTAGAAGACTTACGCTTCATGATGGATGTTTAAGCATAAGATTCCGTGAGCTGGACATCAAGAACGAAGTTCTCAAATACGGAGTTTCAAAATTTGCGATTTTGAGTTTGGTGGCAGAAAAAGCAGAGGGCCGCTATCTAGCCGAAAAAAAATTTGTAGAATCTACTTACACAACAAAAGTCCATATGTTACTTTGGAAAGCTTTGATCTTGCACGGTGAAGCGAACACAAAAAATCCGTGAAATATGTTATTTTGCAGAAAAAAATCCCCTCATGCCCGCAGTTTTCCGGCGAAAGCTTCTTTATAATCGAGAAAAAGTCGCAAGGCTCTAAATAGGCACTATGTCTAATTTCTGGTTGCAAAGTGTGTTTTTGTGGAAAAATTAAAGCGATAAGAGGAATTGTCCTGTGAGATGAGAAATTTCACAAATTTCTTGTTTTCGCATTTCCGTGCGAGATCAAAGCCTGCTAAAATAACGTATGGACTTTTGCTGTGTAGGTAAATTCAAAAGATTTTTTCGGCGCTCTCTGCGATTTTCTGCCACCAAACCATATTTAAGAGCTTTGTTCTCGATGGCTAGCTCATGGAATATTGTGCTTGAACTTCCATCATGGAGCGTGAGACTTCTGATATTTTTAGCACATAAGGTTATGAATTTCGGTTTAGTTTTTAAAAAGTTATTGAATTTTGTTTGAATTACGCAAGAACTTTCGTGCCAACCTAATATATTAGGTCGTTTCGAAAGTAATGTCGCTTTATTCAAGTGAACGCTACATTTCATGGAAGCAAGTTTTCCAAAAGATCTTGGAAGCATTCGATGCATCATTCATCCTCTTTCTAATGGCTATAACCTCACTGCAGAATACTCAATGGGCTTTTGAAAAATTATTAAAATCTCCAACCCATGCTTTTTGGGAAGGTCAAGTTTCACAATTTTTCTAACCTTTTGTAATAACTCCCGAAAGGAGTCCAAGTAATGGATGGATAGAGCAAACCCTATAGGAAACGGTACCATTTTTTTCTGCTTTCCGTATCTCGTCATAATTTTTGTAGAGATTTTTCAATGAAGTCACCGAATTTTTGCAGGCTTGTCTCAAACACGTATGCATCAAACACCAATAAACTTTCGGATTCTGAAACTCACAAAGATGGATTATGGTTTAACACTAATTTTACAAAGCATATGAGCATTTATCGCCTCAGATTAGCAACTTTCGGAAATTTCGGGTACAGCCTGGGGCGCCCTGAAAAACCTGAATTATAATAATTTTACCCGGAAAACGTGATGAATCAGAAACAAAAACAAGTGGTAGAAAGAGGAGAAAAAGCTGCGACGAATGACACCCGAGTTGCTTGCCGGTCATTGTTCTGTGAGGTTTGAGTTGACCATATATGGAATTTGATGGCACTGCAAAATTGACTCCAGAAACTTTAAGAAGCAAGCTAAGGAAACGAGAAAATTATTCTATGTCCTATAAAGTTAGCTCTATCAGGCTGTCACTTGCTCTTCTTTTGAAAATAGGTACAAAAATTTAGAAAAATAGCCGAACTTGACTATGGCAAAAAGCACGTGTCGCAGATTTTGGTAATTTTTCGAGAACTCATTAAACATTATGCAGTAAAATTAAAACCACTAGAAAGAGGATGAGATGCTGCATCGAATGCTCCTAAGATCTCTTGAAAATGTTGATTTCACGAGTAGTGGCGTTCATTCGAAAAAAGCGACATTACTTTCGGAACGACCTAATATATGAGATTAGCCGGCAAGCCCGGCTCCATCCGGCTCCATCAATAATATATTCGAATTCAGCATAATCACTTCCTCCCCTGTGCCAATTCCTTGCCCGTAACACAGACCTTTTAAAATGTATATAGAATCAATAACGGTCAACGACGTAACCTACGACACCCGCCCCGCCCCGAAAAATATGTGCAAGATTTGGCCCGGACAAACACACAGACACACAAGCAGACTTCAGATATGTATAAGATTGATTTGGCAAAGTATCAGGTTCTTTCTAGTTTTAAAATTTTTAAATAATTTCTTTCAAATTTTATTTGCAAAACTCTGAAAAAATCCCAAAAGCTGTCTAGTAACTTCAGATTTGCTTCACATGTAGTGTGCAACAGGGTGTGCATAACAGTATGACTGATGCCGCAAATGCACAAATACCTGGCAAATTTACGGCATCGTAGGCACGCTCAAAATTGTCATTGTTTTCTTTAATATTTCTCTCTGCGTCTAACTGTGTTTTTTCTTTCCAACAATTGTTTGGAAACATAAATCCGTGATGTTTTTCCAATAGCAGAACTTTTGTGCTGCTAACATGTTAAAAACGAGGGCTAAAAAATAAACTTGAAAAACAATTTGTCAAAGAAAAATTTTGTGTGCATACGTTAGCATCAGATACGAGCAGGGTGAAAATGACTTTTGTAAATTTTTAAAAAGTGTTTTTATGTTAAGATGCGGATGGTTGAGATGGCTCAACACGTAGCTAATGTGAACGTGTGCGAACATGATTATCTCACCGCCTATATTCGCCAAAAACCATGGACTATACCCCGATTACCACAATGCTAGGCCTTTTTCTGATTACTGAAATACCAGCTCGTCGACAAAAATGTGCATGAAACGTACTCCAGTAAAAGTGAGTGTTCTGTGCATGGGCCGGATATGACAGTACCAGTAGAAAGACCTTAGCACCCCGTCAACACTCTTTGAACATGAAATTCTCAAAACGTTTGAGTTGAGTTTGAGTTTCTAATTGTAATATTAGTTATTTCAAAAGTAATTTCGCTTTTTTCAAATAGACATTCGATGGAACAGAGATTTTTAAGAGTTTTTAATAGCATTCGATGCAGCATTTCATCCTTTTTCTAAAATTTATAAAATTGTTGCAGCACAATCAATGAGCTTACGGGAAAAAATCCAAAATCTGCGATCCATGCTTTTTGTGATGGTCAAGTTGCATAATTTCTTGAAATTATTGTATCAACCCTTAGAAGGAGTTCAAGAGAAGATTAGATAGAGCAAATATTGAGGATACAGTACAGCTTTATTCTCTTTTTCATATTTCGCTGTATTTTTTAAAAGTTTTAACCAAAATCATCGGATTTTGGCAGGTCTACATCAGACACAGTCGCATCAAACACAGGTAATTATTCGGAGTTTAAAACTTACAAGATGGAAAAGAAAAAAGAAAAAAAGAAAACTTTCGAGATGACCAAATAAATTAATAGTGTGACAGGGATTATTCGTCAACACTGCGCGTAAGCGTTCACGCTTCAAATAATAACTGTAGAATTTGAGGGTAAAAGTTTGTGCTCATGATTTCTGCGATTAATTCAACAGAATGTCTGTTTACGACTCAAAGACAAGGATCTTATGACTCAGATTTGCTTGGCTATCTTCAATTGAACTTAAACGTTTTGTGCTTATTCAGGTTGACTTGTTCAAATTTCTCGCTGATGTGAGTCCGTTAGAAGTCCGACACCTTTTTCAAGATACTCTTCTAGTCGAAGCCCCTCCTCTCGAAGCAATAAAGCGGTGTGAAAACAAGAGTCCAAGATATCAAACAGATGAGGTTATTGCAGGTTTGACGCTGAACTGAAAAGAATTCCTAAAACTGTTATTGTGAACACGATCATAAGCCATTTTATCTTCAACTCTTGTCGTGACTTGGATGTGCGTTTCCAAATGTTGTCGACTCGAGGATATGATGATGAAAGCGCAAAGCGAATCAAATCCGTTAGTATTTTGCGTTACTTTTGAAAATAAAAAAACGTAACGCGTCTTATGACCAACATACACCCTCTAAACATTCAGCTTATAACTTCGTAGAAAAAGGAAACAATCGTATGACAAGCCAAGTCATACGATTGCTTCCTGTATTCAAGGAGAATTGCTTTGAATCTTAGTCTATTTTGTGCTTTCCTATGTGCAGAAACTGATGAAAGCAGCAGGTTTTTTGAAGCCGTTATCTTCCATTGAAAGCTAACATGCTCAAAACATTTGTTACGCAGCAGCTAACAGCTGCTGCGTAACAAATGTTTTGAGCCAAACATTGTTTCTAATTCTTAAAGCCGCTCTGAAAGCTTATTACTACACATAGGTTGCATGGAAGAAAAAGTAAGGATTAATGATCACTTAAGTTTGAGCAAACTCGCAAAGCTCGATAACATGTATTTTGCTATTTTTTGGAAAGTTCCCACTGACTTTGGATTAGAGATACGACATCCCTGTGACACGCACATAAATGAAGTAAACATGAAGAACAAAAAAGAATAGAATAAATTGATTTCCACGACCTTGCCAACTGACACTCACAAACGACACACGTTTATTGTCGATTACCACAACATGAGTAATTAAACGGTGGCAATAAATTGAAATAGGCAAACAACGTGAAGAACGTTTAATAAATGTTTAAAAGAGTATCGAATGAATTCTTTCTACATATGAGGAAGGAGGGAAACTATTGAGTGAGGCAACACTAAATGTAAGTGACGAGATGATCAACGACAATAAACATATGTAGACTTTCGCTTGCTAATTCCATCAATCCTTCTGCAGCAATCGTTTTTATCCATATCGAGATCTTTTTTGCAAAAAGAAAATTGCATCTGACATCGAGGATCCATTCGGTGGCATTTTGCGACATTCATACTTCTCTAGCAAACATTTGTAACATGGCGGACCGCATTTCGATCTGCGAAAGGAGCATCGCGGCTGGCGTTCACAAGGCATGCTGCATTTCGCAATTCTTAAGCGGATCCCCCATTTGCATCGCGATATAGAACAGAACGCAAAAACAACGTTGAACAAACCGTAGAAAAAAGTAATGCTGTGCGTTTCTCTAAGTTGGCGGTAAGCTGTGAACGGCGCACCACTGCTTGCTTAAAGCAGATTGCTACTGTCACTCTTTTTGCAAGGCTGTAACTAGACGGGGAGAGGGGATTCGAGACGGTTTTAGAATTAATATGATATCCCAAAAGTAAACTCCATTTTCAAATAAGTCGAACTGTTTTGGTTTTCCTAACAAACCTAAGACATTGGATAGAGCGGAACAAGCTCTACAAAAATATCCACCTTAAGTCATAATACAGTGAACTTTGGAGCCAAAAATCTAATTTTTCAGCTAATTTATTCGGTCGTTCCGAAAGTAATGTCGCTTTTTTCGAATGAACGCCACTATTCGTGGAACCAACATTTTCAAGAGCTCTTGGGAGCATTCGATGCATCATTTCATCCTCTTTCTAGTGGTTCTAATTTCACTGCATAATGTTCAATGAGCTCTCGAAAAATTACCAAAATCTGCGACTCATGCTTTTTGCCATGGTCAAGTTCGGCTATTTTTCTGAATTTTTATACCTAATCTCCGAAAAAGTACAAGTGGCAAATTGATAGAGCAAACACTATAGAACACAGAGCAATTTCTTCTTTTCTTTAGCTTGCTTCTCAGAGTTTCTACAATCAATTTCTCAGTGACATCAAATTCCACATTTAGTCAAGTCAAATCTCACAGAACAACAACCAGCAAGCGACTCGGGTGTCATTCGATGCAGCTTTTTCTCCTCTTTCTAGCGGTCGTTTCCTGTTTCCGATTCATCAAGTTTTCCGGGATAAAATCATCATAATTCAGGTTTTCTAGGGAGCCCCAGGCTCTACCCGAAGTTTCCGAAAGTTGCTAATCTGAAGCGGTAAACGCTCATTTGATTTGTAAAATTGGTGTTAAACCAAATTTCATCTTTGTAAGTTTCTCCGAAGATTTATTGGTGTTTGATGCATTTGTGTCTGAGACGAGCTTGCTAAAATTCGGTGGTTCCACCAAAAAATCTATACAGGAATTATGACAAGCTCTGGAATGTAGGAAAAAGTTGTGCTGTTTCCTGTAAGGTTTGCTCTATTTATCCGTTACTTGGACTCCTTCCGGGGTTGTTATAAAAATTTAAAAAAATTGTGAAACTTGGACTCCTTAAAAAGCATGGGCCGCAGATTTTGGTAATTTTTCAAAAGCTCATTGAATGTGATGCAATAAAGCTAGAACCATTGGAAAGAGAATGAAATGCTGCATCGAATGCTTCCAAGATATCTTAGAAACCTTTGTTCCATCAAATGTGGCGCCCGTTTGAAGAAAGCGACATTACTTTCGGAACGACCTAATAGAATCGGATTTTCCTGCAGATAGTTCTTGTAATCTTCCAATTTGGTCTTTATATAGTATGACAAATAGTAATAGACGAAAATATATTTGGTGGATTTTTTCTCAAGCTCAAAGAAAAACAAAGACAAAATAGACAGAAACAAAGAATAAAAATGCCAAAATGCTACTTTTGTCGGCTTTTTTATGTAAAACTTGTATTTATCGATTATAAGAGCACATACAAGGGTAACTTTTTGAAATTATACTAAGTAAGGCTTGTGGTATAAAGTGACATATGTTTGAGGGGCCAGAGACGGAATTTGCCATTTTTGGACTATCTTTTTCTCTCCCTTTTACGGCGGAAAAATGCAGTAAAGGCTTATTATACTACTATGTGTCGCTTGTATAGTGAACAAGTTGGAGGTCTATAGGATTATTTTTCGCAAAAATAATCCAATCTTCAAGCGACAGAATTTTTTTCGATTTTGCTTTAAAACTTTACATTGAATTTTTTGTAATTATAGGTGCGATAGGGGGAATTGGGCCCTCTATAAATGAAGGGGTCTCCACCCTTCCAACCCTTGTAAGGTGAAGGGGGTAAGTGAGCCCTGAAAGCAAAATGCCCCAACATGCTTACACCTTTCGAAAGCCGATCTCATGGAGAACTGAGTAGCGTCGTTGGTTTTTTGGGCGTTTTTGGGTCGTAAAGTATGAACAATTTTATATGGCCAATATATCAACTGATTTAGTGTGCTCTCTTTTTGCTCTTTTATCGCCATAAAGACGAATGCTACGAAAAGGACGGCCTACGTTTATTGAAGAAGGCTTGCTCTGCAATAGAAATAGATAATCAGCGATAGCTAGTTCTTCATTGAGCAGAAATTGGAGGACGTGCGTCATACTACAAGGCCCTCGCCGCCAAGGCCCGCCGCCATAGGCACGCGCGCCGAGATGGCCTACTCACCAATTTTGCACCGGTCGCGTGAGCCATAAGGCAATCAAGGCCGCGACGCAAGGCCGCGACGCGGTATCGCGACTTTTGTAAAAAGGTGAAAAGACTTTTGTAAAAACGTGAAAAAACTCAAAAATTGTTCTTTCAGATTTTGACGTGCGGCATCGTCCGTCGCACCGCGAAAAGGGGAACTTTAGAAAAAAACTTGTTTATTTTTAAGGAATGTAAAAGGCGTTGTTTGGAAAAATGTATGTTGCTGAGTATTCAAAATGATCCTTGTTTACATATTTTTCGTCATCGCGGAGTTCTTCTTGCCGTAGGCAATTGTCCTAGTAAGTTAATGTTGCAGATCAGCATCGCCGGAAGGTTACTAATCACAAGCAATCTAGCAGTTCACAGCTTGCGATGACGATTTAATAACTATTTCAGAGTTTTAGAGTCGAACGTTTTTTGTTTTCATTTGAAAATGAAGGAAACATGCCGAATAAAAAATGGAGTTTTTTTGGATTTCGCCTTTATCGCGGTGCGACGGTCGATGCCGCACGTCAATCTCCAAAAGAACATTTTTTTCTGAGTGTTTTCATGTAACTTTTTGAAACAGTCGCGACGTCGCGTCGCGGTCTCGATTGCTTCATGGCTCAGGCGCACCGGTGCAAAATGGGTGCGGAATACCGTAAGCCAGCTCGGCGCGCGTGTCGACTATGGCGGCAGGCTTTGGTAGCGAGGGCCTTGTGGTATAACACCTTGCCGCCGCAAAAATCTTCCACATTTCTATGTAAAATGAACATAATTTTGCATAGAAATGTGGCGTATCTCTCGGCGGAGTGGGGCAAGAAAAAAGTTGACGGTCTTTGTCGAATCCCTGTTTCCTAAGCTTTCAAATGGTACACAGACTGTGAAGCGGAAAAAATGGCAGTTCTTAAAAATGGTGTGGGGATATTTATTAGGCTGGAAGCTAAGTTTTGCAACTACTTTGATAACTCAACTCTTTTTGGATATAACGCACTCAAGCTCGGGCAATATGTAGAGCGTAGTGTGAGCAACAATTGACCAAAGCTGCTTAAATTTTGAAAAAAGGATTAGAAAAACTCCGGGCATTTCTTGAAAACTAGTAAATTTTGAAGATTTTTGAGGTTTCAAAGCGAAATGAAGTTGTTAGCAGTCTAAACCATGCACAATAATCCAAAATCGTGTAATAACTGTTGCTAAAGATTGATTTATTCGGCTCACCGAAAAAAGAAATCAAATTTGGGGCTAGTCGAGATTTGGCGCCCTCACAATTTCGAAAGAGTTGCTGTACGCAAGGCTGCTGAAGACAACCGTCAATGACTAAGGAGCCAGAACCACAAAACTTCTCGAGTTTTTATATTCTTTGACCTGCTAAACGCAAATATCATATTCATTTGTTGAATCGACGCCTTTTTCCTTGTTTAGGGTGGGACCCTATATCGTACACCTACAGTAATCTTGCGAAAAAAGCCCTTATCACGCAATTTCAGTACTATTTTTGTGATCGGCATGTCAGATGCTTCTCCTATGTCAAGTTTCAGCCAAATTTTTCGAATTTTATAACTTTTTTCCTTCATAGCATATACCTACCGTGACCTTCACTGCGACGTCAGAATTTGGTAGAACAGCAGCACCGCTTGTAACATACTTCATAGCCAACACAGTTTCAAAATTTGAGTGCGCCATGTTGAGTGAGAGGAAAGTTATTGAATGAGTTGCAAAAGTTAGTTTCCAACCTAATACTATTAGCTTGCTCCACCCCGCTCCCCCAATATTTGGCTTTCATAAGTCACCGGAGCAAGCAACTAGCATTTTTTGTAGCCAGGAAGCTCAGTGCCCCCAATAAACTAACCCTATTTTTAGGTGTATAAGCCGCGGGGTGGTCCTAGCTTACATCGACTAACCCGAACACATCAAAGGATCTCGCAACCAAAAGACTCTATGCCATGCTGCGTTTTGCCTGGAAGAACCGTGTGGCATAAGGATCGCTTCTCGAAACACAATATAGCGGCTGAGCATCTCGTTTGAAAATTTGAAAAAGTGCGGCTTTACGCCTGAAGGTAATAACATGCGAAAGCAGGGAGATTATGGAAAATCGACTTAAGCCGTCAACTTTTTTCTTCTTTCTCTTATAAGCGAAGGATACCAACATGATCTGGCAAATCAATAAGAAATGTAAAAATTAGTTCCAGTTCCAAAACAATTCCAAATCTACTTTTCCTTTCTGCGGAACAACCCTACGAAAGAATATATTTATTTTATATAAATATATATTTGTATATATACTTCCAAGTTATTTTTATTTTTCCCAAATTTAGCTAATTTTTTTATGCTACATCTATTGTAGACGCCTTAGAAACAGTGCGAAAAAAGCAACTACGGCAATAATTCTCTCTGTAATTGATGGAATACTTCTTTTGACGGAATATGTGGTTGCTGGGTTTCAAGACTGAAGTAAATCTCCGGTATCTTTTTAATCATGATTCAATCTTGAATTCCTTCTCAAATCAGCCTCAGGTAAAGAGGGTCATTTGGGTTCTGGCACAAACGTGAGAGTTGAGACCCATTGCTTCCTCTATCTTAAGTATGCATTGGATGCGACTTA